CAGCTGGTGCAAATGTCTACTTACAGTCTATCCCATACACTTGAGTGAAACCTTTAGTGATCAGTCCTACTTTATACCTGCTAATACTATCATCTGCATTAAACTTGATCGTCAAAACCCACTTGCATCCACTGTGGTTTTTCGTCTTGGTAGCTCCACAACCTCCCATGTGTGAATTTTTTTAAGGCTACCATTTCTTTTTAGACATCATTCTTCCATTTTGGAACTATAAGAGCTTTTTCAATGATATCCCAACACCTATCAGAGTAGTGGTGAAGGCAGAAAAATCAGGAGACAATTTTTCATACGAAACAAATTTGGAAATCGGGTGCTAAGTACACGCCCTTATGCCCTTCCAAATTGTAATAGAAACATGTAGATCTTCTTTGCTAAGTGAATTGTAGCTTTGTAGGTTCAACTCTTCATCCACAATGTCATTAGTAATTTCAAGACTTGGAGCGAGGGCAGAAATGGGTTCAAAATCCTGACCTTGCTGAGAATTAGGTTTGTCACTACTGCGAGAGTGCCTCCTGCGCGAATAAATAATGTTCTTCTATCACCCTTCTCTTGTTCTAACATGTTGCGACTCAATACATTCGAGATTTTAGATACAGTAGGAACAAGAAGTGGTTATAAAAAGGATGATGCAGAATTAGACAATTCAGGCTCAAACATTTCCCAAGACTCAGTTTGATCTCAAATCTCCCCCTGAAGTGAGGACGTAGGAAAATATGATAGGTTTTTAAAAATATGACATCCATTGAGGCAAACATTTGATGAAGAATGTGTGAATAACACTTATAACCTCGTTGTATAGATGAATAACCAATGAAAACACACTTGACTGACTTTTGATCAAATTTTGACTGATGTTTCCGGTGGTCATGCACAAAATTAGTACATCTAAAGGTCTTTAAAGAAATAGATGAAGAACAACGAAATGAGGGATGGATTTGGAGGATAATATACAAGAGTGTTTGGAAATTGAGAACTTTAATGGCATACGTATAAGGTGCAGGCAGTAAGAATGGCTTTCTTCAAAGATACTTAGAAATTGACATATTGAACCATAGAGCTCTAGTAACCTCAAGTAAGTATTGATTTTTCCTCTTTTCTACTCTATTTAGTAGTGAAGTATCAATATAGGAACTTTGATGAATGATACATTAGTTGTTAGAAAGTCTCCTAAGCATGTTTTGAAGTACTCACCTCCTTATCAGTTCTAAAAACTTTGATTGTTGTTCAAAATTGGTTCTCTACCATGGCATGAAAGTTTTGAAAAATCCTTGCAACCTAAGATTTTTCTTTAAAAAGATAAACCCAACATACTCTTGTATGATCATCAATGAATGTAATGAACTATCTTGTGCCAGTGACATTGTGAATACAAAATGGTCCCCAAACACTACTATGAACTAAGGAAAAAGGACTGAACTCATTATAAGGTTTAGCAGAGAAAGATGGTCATGTATGTTTAGCTAGTTGGCAGATTTCATATTGAAAAGTTTTAAGATACAGATAAATCAAGAAACAAACGTTTGAGATAATAAAAATTGGGATGGCCTAACCTATAGTGCCACATTATCACATCTTTATCAGACGATAGATTGATTCCTACTATTGTTGGCTGTTTATTCACGTATTTGTCATCCTCAAAGTATTAAAGTCCACCTTCTTCTCTACAATGCAATCATCTTCTCCAATCCTTGTTCCTGTATTTGAAACGTAGTATTAGAGAAATTAGCAGTACAATTAAGGTCCTAAGTAAGTTTACTGATTGACACTAGGTTACAAGCTAGATTTGGAACATATAGTATAGAGTGAAGAACCAAATCTTCTGACAAGCGTATAGAACTTTTTCTAATAACTGAAGTAAAAGTTTCATCTACTATTTTTAATATCGCATTTCCGTGACATGACATAGAAGAGTAAAATACAAACGAATTACCTATCATGTGATCAGATGCACTAAAATTAAATACCCAGGGATTTTGCCTTGGTATATGGAAAATAGTACCTTGATGAGCAAAATTGCTAGGGACAGTGTTAGGAATAGTCACAGATTGCTAATTGAGAAGATTTAACAACTTTTCAAGTTGTCTTTGTTCGAAAAAACACCACTTGATTCTGTGCTACTGGTCCCTTCATTTTTGTCCTCAGAAGTGGCCTGAAGAGCTTTACCTTGACCCTATCTTC